ATATATATATATATATATATATATATATACATATATATATATATATATATATATATATATATATATATATATATATATATATATATATATACAGTTTTCTCAGAGCCCATGCAACTGTTTATCGCGATGTCGTGGCATTATATATATACATATAAACATATATAAACAAAATTCCGGGCAAAATAATAATATTTCTACAAAGGTTACGTCTTATTTATTGAACTGAATTAAAAGCAATTTTACATAGTGAAAGTACGTGCGAAAATAAAGCGGAGCATCCAACAATATAAGGCGAAAACGATAATGCACAGTTACTATCACGAAATCGAAACTTTCTGCAAAGTTTACTTCTTTCTACCTGCGTCGAATTAAAAACCCTTTTGCATGGTGAAAGTACGTGCGAAAATGAAGCGGAGCATCCATTAAGATGAGACGAAAACGATAATGCGCAGTTAGTATCACGAAATCGAATTTTTCTGCAAAGTTTATTTCTTTCTACCTGCGTCACATTAAAAACCCTTTTGAATAGTGAAAGTACGTGCGAAAATGAAGCGGAGTATCCCTCAATATGAGGGGAAAACGATAATGAACAGTTACTATCACGAAATCGAATCTTTCTGCAAAGTTTATTTCTTTCTATCTGCGTCGAATTAAAAGTCCTTTCGCATGGTAAAAATACGTGCGAATATGAAGCGGAACATCCCTAAATATGAGGGGAAAACGATAATGAACACTTACTAAAACGACATTGAATTTTTCTGCAAAGTTTACTTCTTTCTACCTGCGTCGAATTAAAAACTCTTTCGCACGGTGAAAGTACGTGCGAAAATAAAGTGGAGTATCCCATAATATGAGGGGAAAACGATAATGAACACTTACTAACATGATATCGAATCTTTATGCAAAGTTCACTTCTTTCTACCTGCGTCGAATTAAAAACCCTTTTACACGGTGAAAGTACGTGCGAAAATGATGCGGAGCATCCATCAATATGAGACGAAAACAATAATGCACTGTTACTATCACGAAATCGAATCTTTCTGCAAAATTTACTTCTTTCTACCTGCGTCAAATTAAAAACCCTTTTGAATAGTGAAAATACGTGCAAAAATGAAGCGAAGCATCCATCAATATGAGACAAAAACGATAAGACAAAAATCTATTCTTTCATACATGTTTATGATATATCTCTAAGTGATGATATGTCTATAATATATCTATATACGGAATTGAGAATATTTGATAAGCGTAACGTGGCGCTTCATACTTACATAACGTCTATGTGTAAGAAAATTGAAATGACAACGTAACACACATATTTGCATAACATTTGTGAAGGGACGATATATGAAATCATAATTTGGCGCAATGGTATCGCGAACATGTTGGCGCTTATCAAATGTAACATTTTGACGATCGTCTCCGTCCCGTATATATAAATATATCATATAAATATATCATAAATATGTATGAAAAAATAGATTTTTTCTTATCGTTTTCATTTCATATTATGAAGAGAGATAGAGAGAAGTAAACTTTACAGAAAGATATGATAGAGAGAAATAAACTTTACAGA